GGCCGGCCGTTCGGTGTTTCTCCGCGGTAGACAACAGTCGTGTTCCGTCCGTGCGGCGTGAGTCGTCGAGTGGGTCGTAGTATTGGTGTCCGGCAACGGGTTCACTGGGTGATCGGCAGTCGGCGGATAACGGCTTGTACGTCGTGGCTGATGATCGTCGTTAACTTGAGTTTCCAAATGATTCCAGTTCTTCGTAATTGATAGTTCAGTTTTTGAAGAGTTGAGGTTTGGAATTGGAATGAATGTCCTCTTTGCTTTGCTTTGCTTTGTTGGGGTGGCTATGCCGTTAACTATACCAGGCTTGCGCCTTTACTAGTGGATGGAATTTGGATGGATAATAGTTTTATTGATTGATCCATTGATTATGAAATATAAATATGAATAAATATAAATATAAATATGAATAAACATAAATATAAATATAAATACGAATTTCATTGATTCATATTGATCATATGAATGTCCTCGGTTACTGTACCGGTATTTATACACGTTAATCAGATTTCCGTAGCTTTTATTGGATTCAGGCGATATGGAAGGACTAGTCGACATAACCTTATTTTTATGGTCACCTGATCTCAACGGTGCTGTTTTCACTCRGCAAACTTGTTCGTCTGTTCGAGTATAGTGTTGTTACTGTGGTTACTTAAATGGTAGTCTGTGGTTGGTTGGTGTTCCTGAAAAGGACCTTTTCTGTCGTCTGATGATGTTTCGTAACAATATAAGACGCCTATCTAAATGTATGTTTAACATCTAAAACTATAATATAAAATCTAGAATCTTTCTTTCCGTTAGAAACAGCTAATCATATCTTTACTTTAAAAAAAAGTTTGAACTGCTCCATATTTAAAGTTATTTTTATACCGAGTGTTATCTCCACTATTGTTTATCAGTGTACAGTATTATRAATACTAGTATTATGTGTAGCTAGTACTTAATAGCTAGGCTATATACTTACAGAAAAACAATTTCACTATCTTGCTCCTAAATATTAGAATTAGAACATACATAACTATTACATGCTTATATATTTAATAATAATTGAAGAAGCTATGGACATCTGAATATTGGCGTTAATTTATAAAATGTCAACAGTAAATAATATTAAAAGTGCTACCATTGTACGACCTTAATAATCTGGGTTTCAAATTATAAATTTATTACAGTAGTCAGTACGAAACGTATATGGTATATCCGTATACCGTTTGATATTATAACCAATTACAGATTATTTTTATTTATAATGTAATTGCATTTCTTATCTGAGAAACGATGAGTTTAGAATTTTAGATTTGAATATTATCTATAAACCTTGGGTCCAAGACTGTGGTATAATCTAAGACAATAATAGTGTAAATAATAATAGTTCATGATAATAGTTTTGTAATATCAAATCATGATATTAATTTTTTTATGTCTAATAGTTAGTTTTGTATTGGTTTTAAATTTATGTTTATTCTTTTTTTTTTTCTGTATTGACTCTTATCGGATGTATCACTTATCTATTGTTGGTGATTCACTGTGGTATAGAATTTACATTTGTCTTATGACTATTTGATTTTTTTTACTATTTTTCAAATTTTCTTGGGGGGGGAAGCCCCCCCTCCCCCCGAGAAGTACCTGAAAGAAACACTGATTAAAATATGTACTGAAACGCACCTCGCATTCAGAAATATAAACTAGGAGTAAGGGAGACATAATTAATAATCTTTGATAATACAGAATATAGGTATCATAATATATCTTTTAACAACTGATTAAACAATTATATAAACAAAAATAGTGGGGAGTCATGGCCAAGCAAATTGTTAAACACTATTGATTGTTTACCATTTTGGCAAAACACCATTGTAAATTCCATATTGAATTAAATATTAAACTTCTTAAGCTATACTTCTACTGACATCTGACACTAGTTATTAGTTAAACTACGTTAATGTTTAACTTAACAGATATTTATTTATATAAACATAAAAGATAACGAGTTATTTGTTTATAAATACAAATCGCATTAGGTAATTTATAAATAATAAGAAGTACGCCTTACATCCATAGATATAAACAACAACTAGGTAACCGTCTCCTTCTTATCATCGAAGTCGGCCACCATTTATAAAGCAGGCAATGTTTACAAGATAACATTATCAGTAATTACAGTAAAGGTAAATTTACTAACCAAATTATGAAGACTGAAATCTGAATTCAAAATAATTCATAATATTATGTTAATTGTTACATACCTAACCTATATAACATACTAACATTCAATTACTTTATTGATTCATAGCAGAATTAATATGGGTATTATGCCTAGAGAATGTAGTTTACTATGTATAGGTTTCAAAATTAAAAATAAATAAAGATGTATATGTATATGTAAGTACGCAACTTTACTCAGTCAATTCTGAAACGATTGAGTATAAAAAAATGTAATATAATAGTACATAATACTAAAAAGTGCAATTCATAAAAATATAATAATAATATGGTGAATATATTAGTAGTTAATATATGATATATAGCTGGTATGTATAGTATTATTAGTATTATAATGATAAGAATAAAATTTTATAGAAATGGCGGCTGATTTCTATCGGCCACAATATTGTAGTATAAAGTCGGCTATCTAGTTGTTGTATACATATATATATGTATAAACCTTCCCGTGTAGTCTCCGTCTTACTAATGTAAAACAATGCGAAAATTGTATAGCACTTAAAAAAACAAGACAGGTACAATCATAACTAAGAAAAGAAATAGTCACCATGTAAAAGAAGAGAATTTTTGCGGTGAAATATAATTTTTATTTTTTTCGTTATAGGAACAAAAAATTCAAGTTAAAAAACAAAAATTAATAAATTTTGAAAGTTTCGAATCAAAAAAAAATAACTATTAACTTTAAACTTTTAAAAATATTTTCTATAAACTTAACTTAAATCAATTAAAATTATCAGCATTAATTTGCATGAAGGTTTGTATCATGTAGGTACCCATAATACAATATAGAAAGGTGGCCATTTTCGTATTGTTTGGGGACAGTAATATACCTAGAAAATGGGACTATCCCACTCAAATCGGGACTTATGGTCTCGTTATTGATGGACCACATACGGGAATATACAATTATTAATTTTTAAGGAGGAAAAACATTAAAATGTTTGGATTTTAATCTCAAAAATCCCTCTTAATGTTCGCTTACATAGGCAAGACTCGTCTATATTATTATATTAGATTCTGAGCGGAGCGAGGATTGTATTAATTTTCCCATGATGTGTTTTTTAATTTTTTATTTTGTGTCTGTCATTAAGTTTTGGGRCAGTAAAAGTGCTTCGATTTTCGACTTCAGTACTTCGTTCGATCAGAAAGTGAATCAAGTTCATATTTTGGGGGTCAAAAGTAGAAAATTCTCAATATTTTTCTAAATAATCGGGGTAAACAAACTAAACATTAAGGGGAAAATGTGAAATTTTACACACAATCAGTTTTCGAAAAAATCKATTTTGGTTTTTGATGTAACTTTAAAACAAATAACTATAGATATATGAAATTTTCACCGAATGATGATATAAGTATATTATATCCAACATGAAATTCTAAAAATTTTGACTTAAGTTGAACAATTTATAGTCATAATATGGAATTTTCGATAGTTATTAGTTTTTTAAAATATAATATCGATAAACATTTATTTGTTGGGTAGAATAGCTTGAACATTTAATACAAGGTTCCATACCGTATTGTTACAATATCAGTTAAAAAATAAAATAAATTCATAGTCACAATTTTTTTTTATAAGCATTCAAAATTTGAATTTTGAAAAAATACGTAAAAATCACAAAAATTCGAAAATTATTTCAAACTAGAAATTCATAAAAAAATTTTTTATATCTAAGGTTTAAAAATTTAATGCGAGATTCCTTACAAGTTTTTCAATCTTAATCACAAAAAAAATGTTCAAAAAGCAAAATATTTTGATTAGTTAAAGTTGTTTACTGACATTTTAATTTTTCAACTTTTTAGTTTTTTTTTCTATAAATATCAATAAAAGTTTATTTGTTGAGTAGAAAAGCTTGAAAATTTAATGCAATACTTCTTACACATTGTTACAATAGCAGTTGAAAAATATTAAATATACGTAAGTACGAATTTTTATAAGCATATAAAGTTAAAATTTTGATCAAATACGTAAAAATTACGGCAATGTTCAAATTATCTTAGATAGAAATTCATAAAAAATTTTCTTTTTATATCTAAGATTTGAAAATATTTAATAATATATAATATATCCTAGATTGATAAATTATATCCGCTCAGAATCGTTTTTCGTATACAATGATATTATAATATCATTGGATTCAAATTTGATTCCATCTATTACACTAACCCACTTGTAACCTACTATACAGCAGAGCGACATCTACGGCTTACCCACTTTTGTGTATTTTTATATTAATCGTACTGCAAAAATTTTAACTTATCAACATTTATTAAGGGTTAGGATAAATATACATATATTAATACATTTTGGTTTCATTCCGATTAACTACACTTCTCTATTAAATGAAAGCCAATCAGCCGCATTACATTAGTATGTATTAAATTACATGATAATCATAATTGTTTTAATGTGATCATTATAATTATGTAGATATGAACTGTGAAAGGTATACTATACTAAATTTGGCACGTAGGTACGTGATTGTGTAATTTGTTCTAAACATTGTATGGCACTATCATATTATAACAGGTGTGATTAGGGCTGAGTATACGATCGACGAACTTTTAACATTTGCATCATTATAAGGCAGCGCTTTTCGCGGAAAAAACCGTCACCATAGCAACTTAAGCTCAGATCGATACAATCATAATATATTGCAGCCAGGCTGCAGATTCTTGGGAACCGGGCACGTATATCAAGCCCGACAACGATTGTAGACGATCATCGGTTGTCGTTGTTCATAATATTTATCTACTAACATCGTGTTCAACTTCACGTCGAAATGGAGCGTCATAGCGAGTACAGAAACGGAATGATGAGAAAATCGAGCAAGAAATATTTGCACTTCGTATTGTACCATCCACGCTTGGTTTGCAGAATTATGGCTTCGATGAACGCGGTTAGTAATAAGTCTATCACGATTTAATCTTCTATAATTATTTTATTATGGATGGTCATCATATAATTATGATAACAGTTTAAAATTTGGATTGTTCACATCTCATGGCTTTATTATAAATTAAAAAATTTATCCAATATTGTATACTTAATCAATAATCATCAACCAGTCATTTAATCATCGATTCGAGTTATTTTCGTTTTCGATTTTCCCGACCTTTATGCAAACGTACCCCACGTTAGCCCATTTAACATATGCAACAAGGCTTAATTCCAGAGAAGTTGTGTCTACAAGGTTCGTTACTTAGTAGAAAAGGGAGCGCTATTAAACAATAAATTTAGGATATCAAAGTCGATAGTGGATCCGGAATTCGATTTGAGCGGTGAACGGAGTGGTAAAGGTGCAGAAACTATTACTTTCATGCAAGGATTTTAATCYTCATAACACCATCCCATCATTCATTTTCAATACTACATTTTGGTACATAATATTAAAATTCTTACAATAAGTATTGAAGGTATCGTTTTAAATCATAGTTATTTCATTATTCCTTAAAATAGGTGACTGAAATACGCTGTTTTAATTTTTATGAAACATAACAACATTTTAATAAAATGCCATAATAAATATATAAAAAGAACCTTAAAGTCTAACTTAAAATGTAATATTATAGGCGTGTGTAAACTCCCTAAACTAACAATTTCCACAATCTCCAAATATAAAATCATACGCGTGAATTCGAAAATTTATATTAGTTGATATCTCACAAATCACTACAAACTGTATTTTACTTATCATTCACTGCACGAATGTGCTACCTAGTGCCGGCGCTATGATTTTCAAGGCATTGTGCAATTTACAAAAGCGAGGCCCTCCCTCCCACCATCTCACGGAAAAGTGACAACGTAAACATAATTGTTACAATTGTACAAAACACCAATAAAAAATCGCAAAACCATGTGCCTAGGATGTGCATAARCTAGGTGATGACTATGATGAACATCTTTAAATCAATAAAATGAAACACAATAAGAAATTATATAATGTACACATATCTATATACAATTATTCTTCTAAGTAATAGTAGGTATCTTATATGATATTTATTTTTCATTGTGTATATAATGTTATTTGGGTTTACATACTTTTTTGTGTGATATAGAAATATTTTCTGATAGATAAGTTTTTTTCCTGAACATTTCGTATGTAGGTAACTTAATGTGTTAAATGAATTTCCTTCTTAAACAGTTTACATTTAAACAGTTTAACAGTTAAACCAATTTAAAAACATTAAATTGACATAAAATTGATTATATTATGTTGACTTAATTATTAAAAATACTTTTAGGTATTTTTTATGGCATTTAGTACGATTTTGTTATGTAATTTGTGGTACACCGTTAATCATCAACACCAACCATCTTCTACTTCCAAGACCAGTAACGATGGTAAGTCTATACTAATTAATAATTATATAGATACCTCCTATATTATTATGTTTTAAATATAACATAACTTTACAACTTAATACAACTTTGTGTATTAATAATTAAGTATGATTTTTCGGTGATTTATTTCCTTCAACCAACAACTATCAAAGTTAACAAATGTTACAATAAATTATTAATAATTGTTTGAAAATCACGGTATTTGAAATATTGTAAATGTAAAAACTATTGTCTAGAGAATAGGAATACATGCATATATTTACAGGGTGTCCCAAAGAGATCTGACATTCTGACAAATGAAATAACTTTTGTTCTAATCAATATTTTTTAAAAATTTCTTTTAAATATAATCCATAGACACTTGCGCTAAATTTTTAGAATACATTTTTTATTTTTATTTTTTAATACTGAAAATAAAAAACTTAAAATTGATAAATTTTTTTTTCGAAATATTCAATTTAGCCAATTTGTAAATTTGATTTTTAGAAAAATGTATATGGTAAAAACACTTAAGGCTGATTTTTTACAATTTTTTTATATATCAATATTTTCGTTAGGTAAATTATAATAATTTATAGTTTATACATCACATATTATTAAAATAAATGCAATAAAAAAAATAATTAGATTTTAATGCACTTATTTAAAAATGTTCTTATAAAATATTTTTAAAAAACTTTATTATTATTTGAAATTACAAGGTTTCTAACATAAACTAGATCGTAATTTACTTAACGAAAATATTGATATTTAAAAAAAAATTGTTAAAAATCAGCCATTTGACTTAAATAAGTGTTTTTACCATATAAATTTTTCAAAAAATCAGATTTACAAATTGGCTATATTGAATATTTCGAAAAAAAAATTTATCAATTTTTAAGTTTTTTATTTTCAGTATTAAAAAATGTAGCGCAAGTGTCTATGAATTATATTTAAAAGAAATTTTTTTTAAAATATTGATTAGAACAAAAGTTATTTTATTTGTCAGAATGTCAGATCTCTGTGGGACACCCTGTATATACCATATATATTATGTCTTAAATTTATATGTGAAAAAATTTTTAAACTTAATTCTGATGTTTTCCATTTTTATGTATGTGTACCTAGACGCAACTTTTGGTTTGGATTCAATAATACCAGTCGGGTTGATGTATAAAAATGAAGGTAAAGTGATCACCAAATCGTTGACCAATTTAAGTTTTACTGGTACGCTGTGTATTGTCAATATTCGTCTGGTAATGGCAACATTCAATGTAAGTTATTGGGAGTATTATGACATTATTTGTTTGTTGAAATATGTGTGTATGAATGGTAAAATCATACCTAGTCTGTCATATATACCTAGTAGCTTTTAAATAAAATACAAAATCTAAAAAATTAAATTTTGTATACTGAACTTATAAAAATGTCCTAATTTTAAAAGAGTGTAYGTATTTAATAAAATGACACATTTTTATATTGTTTTTATGTACCTATGAAAAATTAATAACTGTAATGATACGAGAATATAGAAAGGAAACTGGGTAYAAATGTAATATGGTTTAGTTGTGTCATCACCGATTTTCTTTTACGGATTCAAAATACAAATTACAAATATGAAAAAGACAGGTATCTCACTAAATTGTGGAAATTCCCTTTTAACCAATATTGGGATATCATATTTTATCATTTTTTTATTAAAAAATAAATAAGATAGGTTAATTTTATAAAATATTAAATTTTACATATGTGACATTTGTCCCTAACACTGTTTTAATAATGATCCCGGAATGGATTACGTTTGTTATGTTTTTTTTTTAATTACATGGATACGTCAGTGAAAGTTAAGATTCAATTGGTACATATTCATATATATATATAATATCTATATATATAATATGTAACTAATTAATTGAGTAAAAAATTAGAGCTAAGAATTTTTTTAATTTTCTCAGAAATATAAAATAGTAGTTGACCCCGTGCACTTCATTTATCGTTAGAAATTCCAACTAAATATGATTCAATGTTTGTTCAATGTGTTGTTTAATTTGCGATTTAATGATTTTCAGAACTTAAAAATTTTAATCATGAATTACGAATCTCAAAATACTTGTGTAAGCACCACTTTAAAATGTGAATTTTGGAAAAACGTTTCTTAGCAAACACTTACATGTTGGTACGAAGGTTACGTAAAAACTACAAGCCTTGAGCTCTCATTTCTTAAGCTCTACATTTAATTATAGTCAGTGAGTCAGTTAGAATAGGTTCGATTATAATTATTTTACCCATCAGTTTACCCGTATTCAGTGAGACTAGCTTACATTATGCGATCTTATCTGAGATCTTTAACCTATGGTCCACCAACTGATTCCAGCCTACCCAACTTTTCAAATTAGCCCACCACAAAGCTAATTCAATTTTTTTTTACATATTTAATATGTTAATTAATGAAAACAATTCTTATAAATCTTAAATATAATTTTATCATTATCCCTATTTAAAATTGTTTAGCCTGTGAAGTCGAAGCGTGTCACATATTTGGTCCACCATAAAAAAAAAGGTTGAAGATCCCTGATGTATTAAAACCAGGATTCCGGAAAGAGTATGCTATATTAGTGTATAACTTCTAACTCTTAAGTGTCAACGTTATTTCAAGTTTGCCGTTTTTACTTACTAAAACCTACARTGGACTGGATTTAACATGCCATCCGGATCATACAGTGATTTTTTTATATAGCTATATGGTCTAAGTCCAGGAAAAAATTACCAATTAATACAAAATATGGCGTTGGTGTATCTAAGTTTGGATTGACCCTGTTCAGATTATAATACGCCAGGTTGTAATAGGTACGCGAGAAACTTTTATGACAGTGTACCCAATAACTTCCCAAAATTTCATCTTAATTGAACATACCTACATTTGCTTTTATGTTTCATAAAACCTTATCATGAAACCTAACCTTCTCTTCATACACAATATGTATTAGGTACCTACTATTTTGGTCGTTCAATTTTGTTTGTAATAGCATAAATCTTTTCATTGGGTGCACAAAGCCTGTCATTCAGATGAACTGTGTCGGAATCCATAAATAATATGCAAACAGATATATATTCGCATATATCTATGTGTTTGTGTGTGTTACGGTAAAAGATGAAAATAGGMGAATGACGTAATTTCTAGGTCAAAAACATAATTTACCAAAACAATTCTATCATGCAGGTAAATAATGTAAAAAAAACACATTTTAATATCTCAAATGTCCATCATTCACTGGAATTTTACGTAATTTACCAAAACTGGCGGTAAATTATGATAAATCTCGATTCAATATAGGCACTATTTAATAATGAGTATTTATTTGAATGAAATTTTAGGTTTATTGAAATGAATAAAATAAATGCATTTTATAAATTATTTATAATATGTTGTATTGCTGTTTTGGTTACTATGCCATTTTAAACTGTTCAACATTTCTGATGCATTCAAGTTTTGCAAAAAAAATTTTCTAGTTCTAGTTATTGAAACCTTGAAGACCAGCTATTCCTTGCCTTACGGGTTCACGCTATATGATTTATATTTTTTTAATTTTTTTAAATGACTTCATTACTTCAACATCTAATTCTAGAATTTTTCATTACACGGAGAAATGTGTGCTCGTGAATATTTGTGTTTCAACACTCCATATTCTATACCTAGTTCAAACATTCGAGTAATAATTTTATTTGAAATTAAATAAATATTATCAAATTGAAATTGGCTTACTTACATAATTTATACATGTCATCTTCATACTTTTTTGTGTTTTAATTTTTCAATTCTTTTATTTTTTGAATCTTTTCGTTGTATTTTTCAGAACTAAAATAAAATATATTACCCTCTCTCTTTTGACTGTTGACATTTTGTCGATTTATGCTTTACATTTATTCTGTTGCTCCATACTTCAATATTATAATTAAATAAAAGTACAATGATATAGTTTAATTGGACATTTATTATTATTAGAATTCTTATTGATCAAGCGATAGCACTGTCTCCAGAATTTAAACAACAAATGTATAAGAAACTAGCTTTCGGAATGACATTTTTACTAACTTAACTTAATTTTGTGATAAGGTTTGTGGTCATGCTGATTTGGGAAATCATGGATAACTTGCACTGTAATTTAATAATAACAGCCTACAACAGATTAAAACAGTTATTTTAAATTACTGAACAGATGGCACCTCTATTTTGTTTTTGTGATTTAGAACCTTAGTTTTCTGGAAGATTTTCTTAAAAYTTGAATCCATACAAACCATAGATAATACATAATTTATGTATTATCTATGATACAAACCTAGTTCTGACGATTTTGAATACCACAAAAAAGAATTAGCCAAATAAGTGCAACCGATATGAAGTGATGCATATACAAACTTTTGTAGCATTTTATTTTTATTCTTAAGGTTAATAATGTTACAATTGTACCAGTTCTTCCCTGTAATTCCCTGTATCTTACCTAATTCCAAAATCGTCTTCATGGAGGAAATAATAATTGAATTGATTCTGATACATAATACCTACTAATTAAATTGTATACGAATGACTAAATTATGTGCAACTAATGCGTATATTTTACGTACAAAATAATTTACTTTACTCTTTTGTTTTTAAGGTTGAGTAATCTTACGTGTTATCAAATTTAAATGTAAGAACAAATTAAGACCTCATGTAGGATTTTTTAATATTTTAACTTTAAAATTTGGTATGATTAATTTAAAATTATATTTTATTAAGTTTTGAAATATCCGTAAGATGTTTAAATATAAAAGGTCTAAGAGGGACCCTAAACAATATTATTCCTATCTTCAAATTTTTAGTAAGTCAASTTGCTATCTCATTAAAAATAACAGGCTAATATTAATTATTATAAATTTTAAATTTATGTTCGTAATACAATACTTATATAATTTAACGACACCTATGACTTATAAAGGTATTATTTATGATTTTTCATTTAAATAGTTGATTAATATGCTATCTTAATATATTATGCACTATTTATTATTTTTAATAATTGATTTGAATCTTTTTTTATTCAGAGAAATCTTTATAGCATATACATTTGGTTGTTAGTACATACCACACACATGTTATATTCATTATCCATTAATTTGTGGTTTGGTATGTCCAAAGGTTATAATTCGCTTATATGTCTTGCTCTATTCAATACTAGTAAGTATATACCAATCGTTTAGTAGAGAATTGCTATCATTTAACATTAATAACTGTTATTATTCAAATTACTTTTAGTGCTTTATCTTCTGTTTATATCGATTGTGGCATTGTTTTGGTTGGAAGAGCGCCGCATCATACGCCTTCAAATGCGGGCATTCGATAAAGCGGCTTCAAGTCAGGAACGTATGGTCAAAGTTATAATATAAATATGAATAAACATAAACTCATTAGTCAATTTAGAATACACGCAGGATAACCAATCATATAATCATATAATCAATATATATATATGTCATATATAAGTAAGATATTTATAACCTTTATAATTTAAGCATAAAATAAGAGATGCCTCCTATTGTCCATTATAATATAACGATTTATACACTAAGTAATAATACGATTTCCAAGGTTAATATAATACATTTCTGAAAGTTATTTTATGTCATATCATTAACATCCATCAATGCGTGACATATGAAAATAAAGTTCTGAAAAATCAAATTGAAATTGTTAGTTTTTTGTTAGTTGAACTTGAAGTAGGTACGTACGTAACACTACTCCACCATCAGTCAATCATGAAAAAATCTTATCCGAAATTATAAACCGCCAAGCTAGAAGCCATAATTTTATTTTATTTGACGTTCACGAAAACACAACGATTATCTAAATGAAATTCAAGTAGTTTCTGAGTTATTCCGTCAAATTGGTGTTACACTACCAAATCAACATGATATTTTTAACGTATTAAAAAACAAATTTAAGTTACGTCAATCTGAAAACTTAAAACACATCAGTAGGTATACCCATCTACAGATCGATCTTTAGATCAACGTAAATATTTCAAAATTATGTTAGACGAGCTTAACACCAGAAAAGCAGCCGGAGAAAATTATATATTTATCAAATACAATAATAACATTCCGTACATTTCAAAAAACTGCCGAAACTAAGACCAAGTTCCTATAATCTCAAGTTTTACTATCAAAATTTTCGTAGCATAAACACTAGTACTGGATGTTTTTAATAGAAATATTGTTCTGGTGGACCATGACATCATTACCTATATTAACAGAAACCTGGCTACATATGAGGTCAATGACATTGAACTTGGTCTCATCCCAAAATACACAGTTTTTTGTTGTGACCATGATAGCGTCATGGACTGCATTATCGGAGGAGCTGGTGTGTTAATCATTGTCAAGAATCACCTTAAATGCAATCGTATTCCACTTCAAAACAACAATATCGAGCAATTATATATCAAACTTTCTATAGGTTTATTCACTCTATTAATTGGATCGGTATATTATATTCCTCACYATTCCAGTGTTAATATTTATAATGACCATACTTATACTGTAAGTAATTTGTTAAATCTTTCATATTACTCAAATGATATTTTATTGGGTGATTTTAATCTACCTATTCACTAATCGTTATTAAACAATAAAATTTTCCCTAATGTTTCTCAGTTTAATAATTTAATTGCCAATAACCTGCCTAATAATTTCACTTACCTTAATCTTAATCAGTTCAATATTTTTGAAAATCTATCATATTAAATTCTCGGCTAAGTTCTATCTAACGTTCTTAATTTATTTGTTCTTAATGAGATATTTTCTTTGTTACTGAATAATTAATTGTATCACCCTGCATTAACTATCACATTCCCAACCAATATAAATTTAGAATCATTAAGTTATAATGAAATTGTATACGATCTTTTCAACTGTAATTATAATGTTATACGTTCATCATTAGCGATTATAGATTGGTTTCAAGTTTTTGATAAGTTGTGCATAAACAATGTGGTGGATATTTTCTATAAAATTATTTTTAGAATAATTGATGAAAATGTCTTACAAAAAAACCTTTCACATCTAAATATCCGACTTGGTTTAGTTCTGTACTGAGGGACTTGGATTTAAAAAAAAAAAAAAGCACATAAATTATATAAAACATCTCTTATTCATCTCATCAATAATGATATATTCTCTGCACTTAGATGTAAATGTAAGGCTCAATCTAAAACTGATTATAAATTATAATAAATACATTTCAGTAACTAAAAAATCTTTATTATCTTACCCCAAAATTTTTTGGCGATTTATTAAATCTAAACGCTCCTCTCAGTCTTTTCCTACTTCAATGTATTATTTAAATCAGTCTATTAATGGAGGTAATAAAATAGTTGACTCTTTTTCTAAGCATTTTTCTAGTATTTATGTCAAATCAATTACACCACCGTTAATCAATCACACATTATCTGATTCTATCACCAAATACTCTGATCTTAATTTATTTTCAGGTGTTTTAAATCCTACTGATATTCTCCAGGAGTTAGGTACGTTGACTTCAAAAACAAATCCTGGTATTGACATGATTCCGAGTATTTTCTTTTTAAATTGTAACTTTGTATTATCTGTACCTTTATTATATCTATATAACTTATCATTATCAACGGGTTGTTTTCCATCCAATTGGAAATCAAGTTTTATTATACCTATTTTCAAAGGCAATGATGTTATTAATAATATAATAAATCATAGGCCTAGCTCATTAACTTCAATTATAACTAAGATTTTTTAGTCAATAATTTAATAAAAAATACACCATTTCTCTTACCTTTAATAAGTTTGAACCAACATTCTTTTATTAAAGATAGATCGACAGCCACTAAACAGTTAAAAAAATGAATACTTGATGACTTTCCTCAAGGTTTTCATTCAAGTTGATGTTATTTTTACAGATTTCTCTAAAGCCTTTGATAATGTCGATCACTCAATTCTTATCTTTAAACTCCTTAGTATTGGTATAAGTGACCCCTTTCTTTCTTGGATTTATTCTTCTATTTCCGATAGGAAACAAATAGTCAAGTGTAAAATCTTTAAACCGATTCCTTTCACTGTATTATCTGGTGTTCCTCAAGGTTCCCACCTTGCACCAATTCTATTTCTGTTATTTATAAATTATTTAAATTTGTTTAATTCTAGAAAATCACTATTTGCTGACGATATGAAATTGTTCCGTCTTATAAAAAACAGTAATGATACTTCTTTATTACAAAATAATTTAAGTGTTTTAGCTAATTGGTGTAATATTAATAAATTACCTTTAAACTTTAAAAAATGCAAAGTTATGTCCTTCACGCGATCTCGGAACTCAATTATTCACACTTATAGTTTACGTTATCATTATTTACTTCATGCAACTTATTTTGTGATCTTGGTGTTATATTCGAGTCTGATCTAACCTTTAACCACCACATTCAACATATCATCAATAAATCTTCTTCGATATTAGGCTTCATTACGAGAAACTGTAACACATTAAAAATTCTATGTATGTACTTAGTCAGATCTAAACTTGAATATAATTCAATAGTTTAGTCTTCTTATTTAAATACGCAAATTCAATGCTTTGAGAATGTCTAAAATCGCATCCTCCGTTTCATGTCATAAATGTAACATTATACGTGTACCTCATTCGTCTTATCGACCATTGTTAAATACATTTAACATCCAGTGCTTATCAAACAAAAGAAAAGTGAATGATRTGATATTTTTTTTTCAAACATCTAACTGGTTTTTCTCCTGTCCGGAACTATTAAGTTTTTTAAATTTTTCTGTTCCTCAATTTAGAACTAGATCATCAAACGTAACTTCTTTCTATCTAAACAACCACAAAAGTAATTATTCGTTATCCACTCCTATAAATAGAATGATGGCTATCGCTAATGATGAACAAATTGAGTTTTTTGATTTCAATCCAAATTCTTTCAATTTTTTCAATAGTTTTGCAAGAAAAAAATTTTATTAGATTTATATCTGTGATTAATTGTATAACTGTAATGAGTTTCGTAGTTTGAGTATTTTCTCCCATGTTATTTTTACTATATTTCTGTGATTTTGTATTATTAGAATATTAAGTATTTTTTTAGTTATTCATTATTATTTATTTATTTTTTTTTTTTGCAAATGTTATACCATATTTGTATGTACTAAATTATAATCTTTATGTGATCGGGTTACTACCCGTAAACAAATAAATAATAATATCGGAAATCTTCAAGTGTCATAGATAGGACAAACCATAATAAAAAATCACTTTCATCACTACATAAATGTTAGGTACTGAAAGTTGGACCAACGTCATAATATTATAAAATATGTAAATTAGTTAAAATAAATATATAAAAATGAAAAATTCCGAATGAATCTGAAAAATCCGTATAAAAATTATAGTTATAGGAACATTTTAAAAACTTTAACGTGATTTCTACATACCTTATGAGCTCACAAAATACTAGAAAAATTTCCAAGGAGAGCTGTTCAACGCATTTTTATATACAATTTAACTGATCATGTTTAAAGTTTCTGCAGCTAAGAGTAACTTTGATATTTATGTTATATTATGCTATAAACATATATTTTTTTTTATCTATAAATTAATAGTTGTTCAATACTTTTAATATTACAAATTAAGTTGTATAATTGTTTTATTTTTAAATTTTATTGTTTTAACAACCTAAATATTTTCTTGAAATATAATATCTTGAAATTTTTATATTATGTGTATACCCGTACGTATGTTTAAAAAACTTAATCACGTCAATTGTATTAAATTTTATAAATTAATTAATTTATAGTTAAAAAATATAAAATTTGTTAACTATACCTACAAAGATTTCATTATTTAATATATTTTATTTATGTCAGTGGTTCTCAACCTTTTTTAATTCGTGACACCTTTAGTTACCTACAAGAAACAATAAACACTGCGTCGCTCTAACAACGAAATCATAAATAATTTTAACTGTATATTTTAGAATATTATTCTTTTATTAAAAACAAAATACAATACGCAGACAAATAATAAGTAGGTATTAGAATTGCGTAGTTCAATAAACGTTGACATATTTAACTTTAAATTGGGAATTTAAAAAAATAAAAACAAAAATAAGAATGATTTATATAAATTTATTAGGAAATTTAATAATGGCATTTTCTACAAAGTTTGGGCGATCTAGGACATCTTGGCGTGGCCGTATTGGCGTGGCCATATTGGCGTGGCTACTTTGGCGTAAACTAATTTGGCGTATGGCTATTTTGGCGTATAGCTATTTTGACGTTAAGTTTTGGACTAATATAACTAGTATGCCAGTAGTTGTCTGTGCGAGTAATATAATAAATAATAAATAATAATA